TTTATGATTATTCGACCTACACACAATACGTCTATGTGAATGGCTATTTGGATATTTCACGTAGTTCAGCTGGACCATACCAAGGCACATCAGGGTAAAGAAACATTTGATCGAAAAGAAACCATCACTTCTATAAAATACGATATCGTAGCAATTTAATACTTCTTATTAATCTAGAGCTGCTCCTCCCTTTTTGTAAAAAGCCTTTTCAAATTCAATAATGATTCATGATGTGTATACAAATTTATTTCGAAGGTGATGATAGTAAACAGAAGAAACTCCCGTATGAAAGATGAAACATATCGTCACTCTGATGAATATTGTACTATACAAAAATCCAAATTACTTCTCATCTTTCGATCCACTTAGACATGTACATGTGAATTGATCTTGTTTTTAATCTATGAAAAGTGAACACGATCTATTTTGCTAGTAAAGTCAAAACGAAGACTCTTACGTCAATCTTATTTTAGCTTTTCCTAGACAGAAAAAATAGAGTCTAGAAACAGAAATTCATCTGTGTCTGTTTGCTTGAAACATAGTTACTATATGGAAACTACAGTACAAATAACCATTTGCTAGTTATAGAGAAAAGGACCATATCCGTTAGCATCAAAAGGTGAGAAATACAAAATGTGTTTACAGTGTGAAACGACTATATTCACTCTGAATTCCATCGTATACGACCGTATTTTGGTGCATTACATCTCTCAGTATTACGACTGCTATCCTTCGTGTGTGATATGAAGAAATACTATACTAATATTTAGTTATGTTACACGTGAATATACAACGATTTACGACCATTTAAGAATGTGCCTGTCGATCTGAAATGCTGTTAGAAGCGATGATAATTCTTTTTAAACTATGATATAGTTCAATCCATTGTTCAATGAACCATACATGAAGATGTTTTGCAATAAAATGTTAAGAGCTAGAGAGTGAATTTGAACATCAGATTATGATAAATAAAAAAGAAATTTTATGAATAAAACGATAATAATCTTTTTGCAATAGAAATAACAGTAATATAATTAATTTTAAATAACTGTTTCTAGTTTTGTTTTACTTTATAAATCAATATATAGACCGTTTTAGAGGAAACAGGACATAACCACCTTTTCATTTGATTTTCATTCTTCACATGTGTTATTCTTCTGAATAAGTTCTTTTAGCATAGGCATATGGTTGAATCCATGGAGTTTCTACTAAATTCTGAGAGAATTGTTTTTTTCAATTATATATCATAGGCTAGTTAAACGTAATTTTGTCGAAAAAAGTCGAAGGTAACAATTAAAGTCTTTTTAATCGTGAAAAGTATGAAGTCCAAGTCATCTTTAGGAATAGGCCACACACATGAAGAGTATCTTGTAATAAATTGTTAATCATAGTTTTCGTAATTTTTATTGATATAGAGATCTGAAATTTTTATCGCACATTTATCTGATCAAGATCTTTTACTTCTGGAATGAATTTTTAGCCTCATAGCCACGAATAACGATGAAAATACATAGACAAGACTGTAGTACATAAATGTTCGTATCAGATTTTTATATATTTTTGTTATAAAACTGTCGCAAAAATTAGTATAAAAATTGATTTATTTTACCACTAGCATTAGCTAGAGAGCTAAAACTTTCTGAAATAAAAGATTCTGATAAGATATATATGTGACAAAAATTTCATGTTTCTATGCGAATCAAAAATCTGAACAATAAGCTTAACAATTTATCATCCGTTATCATGGGATACTGTTTCTGTGTGAAGTGTTCCTAAGAATGATGTGAATCTCCGTACTTTTTAAGTCAAAAACGGTTTTATTTGTTATCTTGCATCATCTCCGACGATGTTACGTCTAACTAGACTATTATAATCGAAAAAGCTTTCTTCTAGGACACAGGCATGGAATATCTTCTTCCAAAAAGTGTACGAAATCTCACGAATCCACCCATATGTAAAAATGTACTATTTCAGCTGACTATCAATTTAAAGTAGGGACGCACCAGTTTTCATCAGTTTTTGTTTTCGGCAACCAAGGTTTGACCTATAACTGAATCAAACAATACTAGTATCTATCTGTTTGCTCTGTTTTTCTATCTCGGTTATATTTCTTGAATCTAATGATATAAGAAAGCTGATAACCAGTGGGAATTTTTGAGCCAATTGCTGGTCAGTGTTGGTTTCACTATTGTGTATGCCTAACATGATTTAGAGCGTTTTATATTTTTCTTAATTTCGTCCTTAATAGCTTTGCCATCTTTTGAACAAATACATTACGTAGGCCAAATATTTTTCTACAATGTGAAATTTTCGATAGCTCTGAGCGCGTTTTGATAACCAATGTGTAAGAATTTTGCTATATGACCCACGACCAGTTACAGTCTGGTGCGTTCCTAATTAAAATTAATTAATTAATTGATTGATTAGCTAACACCTAATCTCGAATTTTTAAAATGCTAACGCCCATTTTTTGAATAGGTTTTCAACGATACAAGTTAAAGGGATCGAGTTTTCACCATTACTAAGAGCAAGATTGGGAACGTCGATCTGTATCAAAATTCATTATGATCAAAGATCCATTGTAGTTATTTACAGCCAGACACCTTATTTGTCGTTGATTCTCCTGAGTTTTCGTGACAAGTTCACATCAAATTAGACCAGAATATAGTTCTAATCGTCCTGTATTTGTGCTAAAACTTTTATGTTTTATAATCGAAGTGTAAGGAAAAAACTTAAGAGTAAAATGCAAAGATTTGAAAATTTCAGCAAAAATACAGAACGTTTTCAATATATTTTTCTCTAATTTGAAATGAACATATCACGAAAACTCATGAATATAGGGAAGAAATAAGATATCTGACTACTTACAACTATACTAAAGATCTTTGAACCTAATGAATTTTATAGTGATCGACAATGTTAGGATTTTCAAAAAAAATGAGGCATTAGTTCGTTGATATCTCTCTATTGATACAATAAAAGAATCCGAAAGGCTCAGGATAAACCCTATAGCATGAATTGCATCTATGATGAAATTTTCAGCAAGATCGGACCAGAAAAACGTTCTCCGAAGAAAAAACAGTTGCCTAGAGACTTTGTCAAGTTCTGAAACAAAAATATTTCTTATCATAACCTACAGATTCTGAGCAGAAGTTTCGATTGTCTAGGATTGGTTTCAAGCTTTCCTTTTAGTTATAAGAGCAATTTTTCGATTGTGTATTCGTACCCCATCAGGTTGTTAACAAAAAGTAAATTGATTTTTTTTTGATAACCTAAGCATTATCAGGAAAAGCTTAGCAAAGATATTTTATAACTTCAAGAGTTCCGTACAGAATGTACTAGTCAATTCTCAAAAATCCAGTCAGAATTCGAAGTTTTTCAAAAGTAAAAATTCATGAAGTGAGAGCTGGTATCTTTTTTGTGTCGCGTCGGTAATACTTGCTTTTTACTGATGATTTCTCCGAATAAAACTCCCTAATGCTAACTTTTTTGAGGGTACCTAAAGTAGCTTCACATATATGTAACATACAAAAACTCAGCTCTGACAGGGTTTATTATTCTGAGATATACGTATTTTTAGTTTGCGAAGTCACATTTCTAACGAATGAACTGGTCAATATATGTAATATAGACTTTATTCCAAACAGAAAGACGACACATAATATTAAGAATGATACAAGATTGAAATGCTTTCAATGTCAAGGTTATTCTTTAAAACATTGAAACTTGAAGCATAAAATCGCTAAAATAGATGTACAAATATTTTGTTACCGCATATTATTTGGGGAAACTTGAGGAATTTGACAGGTATTACTACATGATTAAAAAAATTTCCATTCATTGTACAGAAATATCATTCGAAATTAAAAGTAGAATTTCACGAACAATATCAAGTATAAAGAAATATAGTGGCAGTAGTGCAACTATTGACTGACTTTTGACAAAATAGCTATATAAAAACAAATAATATTGCATATATAAACTGAACTGAACTAGTCAACTGTAGTATATTCGAAATAAGGTTTTCTCTCTTAACATGTAAATCAAGTTTTATATTACGAAAAAATTGATTTTGTGAAGCGACTTGCTCTTATATGTCAATTCATCTATGGCATTTATCTTGTACTTTACTTGCAGCATACTTATCTCCTGATGTGGCTATACGCATATCTGCATCTTGCCAGTCTAATGTCAAGTGAATTGAGTCTCGATGAACGTTATTTGTGTATAACTAGCTCAGAGTAATTTCATAATCAATTATACCAAGATTCAAACAAAACACCTTAGGATCATGTGTCGAATAATGTAATCAATCCAATAGTGATGCAGGATCATAGTATCGATTGAGATAAAAAGAAGTAAGGTCTAGTATATGAGATTATCTCAGAAAACTGAACTTTAATAGGCAAAACGAAAAGCATTCGATTTCAATGATTTTCAATTCCCAGTAAAGTTTCTGTGCTTGTGAAAAGCTCGTCTGTGACTTCACTTCTAAGTGCTTATCAATTCCAGATCTTAGAGCCATAAAAATATACACTGAAAAGTTTTATAAATGTTGGAAGGAGTCAGATGATCATGCATCTTGTTTCAGGGCCTTGACTATTGGTACGAACAACGTCAATGCACCGAATAACTATTTTGATGGTTGTCTTGATTCGATTGCATATTTTGGTCGAGCAAAGAATGCAACGGAAGTATTGGATGATGCTACTAATGTGGCCTATCTATCTTTCGATGATAATAGTCTTCTTGATAGCGGCCCTTTGCTGATTAATGGAACAGGGACGAGTTACTCTTACACATCATTGGGTCGAGTCAATGCTGCTCTTACACTTTCCGGCAGCTCCTCCTATATTCAAATCACAGGCCTGAGACGTTTGGGTACAAGTGGTTGGCCATATTCGGTTGCCATTTGGATCAAACCTACAAGCAGTTCTGGTGGAACAATAATGCATTTGAGTTCCGGAACGGCTGGAACCGGCTCCTGGTGTATTCCAATCATGGGTTTCACTTCGGCCGGACAAATTGCTATTAATAGTTGGAGTGGTGGCAATGTTGTCCTTACTGGACCTATCGTTTCGCTCAATTCATGGACTCATGTTGCAGCAACCTATTCATCAAGCAATGGAGAACGACTGTATGTCAATGGTGCTCAATATGGTTCATCGTCGAGTACTTACACTTTTTCCGCCAGTAGTGTTCCCATGACGATTACACTCGGAAATTCACTGAGTGGAATTGGATATTGTGCCACAGGCACGATACAGATGGGACAATATAGTGGGTCGTTAGACGAATTTCGAGTCTATGCACGTGAACTTACAGCATCAGAAGTATATTCACTAGCACATCCATAAACAGTGAATATGGCAGTACGTTAAAATATTTTGACATGCACCAACATGACTCAATCTACATTTACCGATTAAGGCTTTCTTACTGAACTATTTGATTGGGGGGTGATGGATGTGGTTGTGGGTGAGCATGGTTCTAGGTGTGGTTGAGTGTGGGTTTGAGCGGGGTGTGGGTGGGTGTAGTTGTGAGGTGGCGAGTAGGTATGATTTGGATGGAGGGTGTGGGTGAGTGAGTGTGACTGTAGGTAATAGAACAACCATAAGAGAGAAAGGCAACTGAGAATGTCAAAAAAAGAAACGAGAAATATGAGCAAATAATATAGGTACAAAATTAACTTCTCAAAGTAAACTACGTTTGTTCATTCATGCTACATGTATAAGTATTAACCAAAATATTTGTTTATTTCTTTGTAGTAATATTACAAATGAATGTTTTAAATGGTTAAAGAATTTCATTGTGAGTGAAACCATACAAGAGTAGCAAGGTATGAATGACTCTAAGGCCCATACGGTTACTATGTCAACAAATCTCAGCCAATTCGGCACCTCTTTAAAAAATACGTAGGATACAACTCTGATATGGTCATAAACCGCTTCAGTTCTCGATTCTATTTTTTGGAAGTACAGGACACTACTTTCATTCCACCAGAATAATGTAATCAACCATAGTAATTGCTTAAACTGATAGTTGTTGCAAACAAACCATCATTGAGAATAGGAAGCAAAAATAACTTTTTATCTAATTATATCACATTGACAAGCTAATCAATCAATGAAAATCATATCATTTTCTGGAAATAGGGTCGTTCTATGGGCTTTGTATCATTTGCTTGAGAGAATGCTTTCTATTGATTTTGACTATCTAGCCAAATAAAAGGTGGTTAAAAATAATCTACGTGTGAAATGAAAAAAACTTTGATATCGAGAGTTTGGAGAACTAACAAGTTCGACAATACTTAAACATCGAGGTATATCTCTAAACATAGAAAAAAACATTTCATCCAGAAATATCATGCACTTTGTATCGGTTTATTTTATGAACAACTTTGTAACAATGAACATTGAGTTATGCACAATGATCATTATTCAGTTCAAATAGGTTTAAACATCTTTTGTTTGTTCATTTGACTTAACAAAGAAATCAACTTATCTCATACGAACTTTATTTCAATTTTGGTTAACATTGAAGTTATTTCCGAATTTTATCGAAAAAATGTCTTTGAAAAAAAACTAGCTTTTGAATCTGGACTGAGCCATGAAAAAGAAAGCCCGTTTCGAGTCCTGGTACCGGTTCTTTAGTTTAATTTAAAAGAATAGTTCAATAACGAAGAACAGTTTTTATTTCTGTGAACATTAATCTTTATGCTGTTTAACATCTCATTTTTAGAATTTGACACACAAATTATCCATTGTAAAATGTTTTGCATCACAACACCACTCGCAGATCGAATTGAAATTGACAGTATCAATGTCAAACCAGTTGAGTTCAATAAAAGTTCTCGATTGGGTAAATAATGATACTGCTTTTGTATACAAAGTAGTCCCTGCTCTTATACCGGTTATTTCCAATGTAATGTTATCATACCAAGCTGCGCAGGAATAAAATGAATTTATTGTGAATGTATTCGTAGCTGCATTTGTGATAGTCATAGGACTACCATATCCATCAAAGGCAAGATATGGAGGACTAACAACACCCGTTCTATAGCCAGTACCAGGATTACTATCATTTAAACCATTTAAAACCAAAACATTTTCCCAATTTAAACCACTATAGCCGTTCGGTACTGGAAAACCCGATGTGTTTGTTATATTGGTTATATCATCAAAAGTGATTAATGACGAAGATTCTGGACAGGCTAGAAATAGTAAACATTTTACAATTTACAGATTCAGCTCATCAATAACTTTACAATAAAACGTTTTAAATCTTTTCCCATTGTCTGAATCAAATGAGCTGATTATTTTTGCTATTATTACATGTTTTTATTCATAAGAAAAGCAAGACAAAATATCAGAGGAACTGGTGATAAATCAGAAATTGCAGTAGAATTTGAATAAAACTATGAAAACTGTCAAAGTTTCGGTTTCCGAAACAATAACTACCAGTTTCTTTCTTATTGGTACGACTGAAATTTTGTAGTATATTTAGTAGGTATAGTTTTGAGAAGCATGTATTAATATGGTTCTTTGTTAGCAATAACTTGGAACAATCTATTATCGACAGCATAATTAACCAATACACAAAAAATGATTTAAATAAACAGTACTGAAATTTCTTCAGTGAATAGAAATAATGAGACAGACTCCGATATTTATGGAAAAAATATTCAAATTAATAACATAAAATAAATCTGTTGATTCGCTAACTAATAGCATGCTTTACTGTAGAATAAAGACACAGTTAATGAAATGAAAAAAAACTAACATCGTATAATTCTTACTCGACTTTCTATTCCAAGACAATTGAACACTAAAAACCGAAAAGAATAGAGCAGCAATGATAACGATGGCAAACATAGTTGATTTTTCTTATTACGAATGATTGATATCGAGCATTGAAAGACCGCTTAAATAATCTTACTTTAATCATTAGTGGGAGCTGACAGCATGTGGTACACAGTCTTACTATCGATGCTAAACAAGAAAAACTGACGATGTTATTTTATGATACAAATTAATAAGATTGACGTGAACTATTTTGTATCAAACGTTTCTTTTAATTTTGACAAGGCAACAGAAATGTTTTGAATTATATGAATACGTATAATAGATATATATAAATATATTGAATTTTTTTCTTTTTAATATTTATTATTGTTTTGGATTATTGATAATTGATAACACAAAAAGAAAGAAAGAAAAAAAAGACAAAAAATGATAGACAGAAATATGAAAAAAGAATTCCAAGAAAGAAGAAGAAAGAAAATTGAACAATAAATAAATAAATAATAACGCAAGACCTTTCGAATTTCTTCTTTTTCAAGCGAGCGTATCGATTGTAATAAATTGTTGTGTATAAATATATAATCCCCAAATACCTAATTCGATCTTTTAATAAATGCATAAATATATAATTTCTTAATAACTAATTTTAAAAAACCAAATGTATAGTCTCTAAATGAATAATTCAGTTCTTTAATTGCACAAATATATAATTTCGAAACAAATAATTCAATTTAAAAAATTAATTTTTAAAACATAGTAATCCGTCCGATTGAGTTAATCCTGTGTTATATGATAGTGGGAGATCTTATTGGATTGTAATACCTTCTTAACGAGAGTTCATCTATAAAAAATAGTCTATCAACTAGAGAAAGGTCATAGATTGTTTGTATAAAAATGATCCATAGGTGAAGAAAAAGAATTCCTTGATTTTGATAATCATCTAGAAAAGAAAAGAAAAACGACAACAAGGAAAACACAGAAAATAAAATCTAAAACAAAAAAAAGGAAATTTTTGTTTACACGAAGTTCATATCTTTAAGAAAAAATTGTTTTTATAGAGGTAACTCTTATCTATAGAGAAATTTTTCTTTTATTTCTCATGTATATGCATCTATCCCAAATCATTTACCATTTTTGTATCTATATCTCTGAAATTTTCTATTTATTAGTTATTTCTCTTTTAGATTGAATTTTCTTAAATTAGATTTTTTTATATTAGATATTCCGCGTTAAATTTTCATAAAATAAATTTTTTCTTTTCTTAAGATCATTTTCTGCTATCTATAGCTTATTATCTGAAGATACTGGCAAGAGTTTTATTGCATCTCTCGTGGGTCGTTTTTTTTACAAGTAGGTGTCTTAGGCTGTCGGTAAGTCTATTCGCGTAAATAACAGGTATGTCATCAAGTGGTGTTCCTTCGAATATTTCCTGCCAGATATGATGAAGTCGGAATCCGAAGTTTGCTAGTGATGGGGTGTATATAAAATGAAGGAGAATATCATTGTCAAATTATATTGTTCTTTTTTCCTTCTTATTCCATGTTGGCTCTAAGATTGATTCCCTATATTTCGAGTGATTTTTACCTAAGAGTAGGCTTGTAGTTTGTGTATCTGTTACATCCTGAAAGAAACGTCTTGTATGTTTGTCGATAAATTTTGGTGGGTATCTGTTTAGCAATAGCATGATCCTAATCTTATCTACAGTACTGGCCAAAAGTATCCCCGCATCAGATCTCAGTCACTACCAGAGATATTGCTCTGAAAACTTGACTGTATATAGATCTCGATGAATGTAGCTCAGCAGCGAAACTCACGCCTCTATAGCCTAACTCACCAGAGGAAAAAAAATTTTGTTGAATATAAAGAAAGCTTTTTAAAGTCATGATGACAATTTTATTGCTTTCTTTTACATATTTGTTTTTTATTATCAATCGAAGAATTACATTGAGTTTTTTAAGAAAAACTAAAGAAGTTTAGCGCTCGATATAGTCATTTGAAACCTCTGATATATATTACGAATAAAATTCTTACAATGTATAAATTTTAGATCAGAGAAAAAATAACATTTTTCGAAGCAGCTTTTTACTTTCAATAAAAAAATAATATACTTTCAATGAGTTTTGCAAATGTACATGATAAAAGACAGAGACCATTTGAGAAAAAAAATGATTGATTTCTCGGGCTTTTCCTGTAGAACACATGACCTTATTGAAATAAAAATTAAAAATAATAAAATGTACTCAATTTGGACATTTCATCACATCTTAGTTTTTCATATATTCTTCTTGCAATTTTTACTAATAAAAATAATTTATGATCACAATACGTAAATTATCAAGTTAATATTGAACTGAAAAATCCATCCATGCATGTCCAATGAAACTCATTTTAAAAAGCTCTTATTAGTAACATATGGAATATGTCACAGATATAAATTCTTCTGATTAATTAAAACTAGGACAGTTCGTATTAACGAAATCTAGTATTTGTATTGTTTTTAAGAGTAAAATCTGTTGTGCTTTTATTAAAACTTCATTATATTATGAACTGTCATC